CTCAAAGGGCAGTCTGAGGCACTGGGAAAACTACATGACTGACTAAAAACACACATGACATTTAAACTCAGTTAACAGAAGACTAGTCAAGTCTGATATTATTTGTCATGTGTCTCCATCACTGAATAGAAACTTGCCTCATCTCTTCTCCTCTCCACATGTCATATTCATGCTTTAAACACACACACAGCTCACTTTCTGGAAGCAAGAATTTTAAGTGCCACAGAAGAAACCAATGCTATTTCAAAACACACACACACACACACACCCCACAATCCCCCCCCCTCACTCTCACCCCCTTGGGAGAACGAGGAACCAGACATTGCATCAAAGCACCTCATGCAATCAAGAGATCAATCATATCGTTTCCTCATGTGCACAGGCAATAATTTACACAGGCCCCAGGTGGGAAAACTCATGCCAATGTTCAAAAAGGTGAGTCTATTAAACAAGATAAAGGCCTATGTAACTAGGCTTAATCAATTTTATAGTTACATCCTATTAATACAAAGATCTTAAAGCTCATTCAAAACATTAAGTGTTAGTTGGAACAGATGTGAAAATATAGACCCAGAAAAGGGCCTAGCTATATGGTCAATGTACAGGAGAGTAATGTTTATGATATCATGTAAACAGAAATGACATATACTAACAAAGAGATGTAATTCCATAATTAAAGGCATAGTTGTGAGATATTTTATATGAAAAAAAAAAGGATTACTGTATCTTAGTAGTCTCTACTATGGATGGCATGGAGCACAACAAAGGCTATTTTTAAAAGATAGGCTTTTATCGTGTACTGTTAAGAGACATTTCAGGATATAAAGCTGTGATCAAAGGCTGGGCCAAGAAACTCTGCCCTATAGATATAAATGGAAGGGACTCACAGCTTCACAATGAAGCTTTTAGCAAATCTCTACTCTGCTTTAACAGGCTTTCTTAGAAAATCATTACTGGGAAGTCATCACTTATTAAAGACCCACTCTGGGTATTTAAGGGGCAAGGAGTGGGTCAGACAGCAAGACACAGCAGTGAACTGTGTGCCAGACCCCATGAAACACTATGATACCTTTGAGACCCACACTTGCAGTTGCCCTCATCACAGCCTTGCAAGGAGGGTGCAATCTTCCTAGAGTACGGAGACTCAGTGTATTTAAGAGAATATGCCAAAGTCAGACGGCTACAGAATGGCAGTCTTACTGCTCTGTAGGTCTAACTTCAAAGGCTGTGCTCTAACAGCATGCTTTCTTAATCAGAAGAAAGGGGCTTAGGGGCAGGGGAGAAGATGAGATAGGTTTAGGTATATCTGGAATTTGAAGAGGTTGTGGATTCAAACACAGGGAATGATCACGGGGAGTGAGAAGCCGCCTCAAGCCAGCTGTCTGCCTTTGAACAAGTCACCACTGCTCTTGCGGTTCTGGTTTCTCTCCTCCAAACAGTAGAATCCTGAAGTCTCCAAACTGTGGAAGGACACCAGAGACCTTTGCATTCCCTCCATCAAGACAAGAAGTCCCTCATCAGAGTGTCAGTGAAATATCTGAGCAAACCAACGAGCCCTCCCGACCTTTTCTTCATCTTCTCCGGCTAAGGAGACATCACCAGGGAAAGAAAGTGGGCACAGAGGCGGCTACTTAGCTTTGGCCCCACCTCCTGTGAAGAGTACAGAGCCTCTCAATAGCTCCTCCCTCTTCCCTTGCTTCCTGTCACACTGAACACCTCTGAGGCTCAAGACTGTACCCTTAAGTTTTGCAGTGCATTTGACAACAGTTGTTAAAATAAGGTAGAAGCAAATCTCACAGGCTCCTAATCAGGTCTTCTGGTCTACAAATGAGGAACACCACAGATTCTTACTTCAAGTCAATCCCAAAGGGGATTTTTGTAACGGAGTCACAAGGCCAACATGGGAATCAGAAAAATCACCGTCACTACTTCAGATTCAACTGTGGTTACACAGGAGGCATTTCAAACACTTGCATAGTAACAATGTGCTAAGGAACTATGGCTTCAAGTTAGAAAGCACGTACAGTCAGATGAATGGAAGCATGATTTGGGGGAGATATGGCCTATTAGTAAAAGGCATGAAAAGGGCGAATCAATGTAGGTTACTTTTCTTAATAACAGTCTAAAGAAACATTAGGCTTTTAAAAGGTGAACAAGTTATTGAAGATTGGTTTTCACATGAAATAGGTATTTTTCTTTTAAGTTGTGGGGGACAATGCTTTTTCTTTTCTCCTTTTGCTTTTCAGGAAAAAATATTAATTCAATCCAATTCCAAAATAGGTCGTTTGGGAGTTTTTTTGTTTGTTTGTTTTTAAAGCATATACTCTTTTAAGATTTGAAAAGCAAAAGTCAAGGCACACAAGACTTAAAAGACCCAGTTATAGCCACAACAAATATCCAGGAGCTGAAGGATACTAATGCATCTAAAAGACAATTTAATAAAAAAATTGAGTTTACAGTGAAATATAAATAAGTTACACTCACTCTAAGGCTGGCAGAATTCCCTTTACACAGGACACACTGAATACATATTTGTGGAATTAATGGATGGATGAATATATATTTAATTTGTCATTACTACCTTTCTCCTTTTTATTTTTTTAATAAATCATTTTATTGGGGGCTCTTATAGCTCTTATAACAATCCATATAACCATTAAATCAAGCACATTTGTACATTTTACCATCATCCTTTTCAAAACATTTTCTTTCTGCTTGAGCCCTGGGTAAATTAAACAAAATTGCTGCTATAACTCTTTCTATAAATATGAAGGGGCTTCAAACAGTTCACAGAAAAACAGAATGAAAAGATAATGAAATTCTTTGATGAACTTTTTGAAGCCCCCTTGGACTTTCTGAAGAGAAGATGGCTAGCCTTAAGAATGAGTTATTCTAAAGCTTACCTTTCTCCACCAAATACACCAGCAAGGTGCTCACAACTTGAGTTCCTCTAGCAAATTCCAAGGAGTTTCCTCCTTGTGAGTTAAAGCAATAGCCTGTATACAGAATCATAACAGCATATGGCCACATTTATGCAATCATCTGAGCAGAATAATTCAGCTTCATAAAAAATGCAAATTTAACTACTTAGTGCATTAATTCATGCCAGCCCCTGTTCTCAAGACAACCGCCAGAGATTTCCCACAAGCAATCAATATGCACACATCTATTTAACTTTTATCACTGGTTCACCAAGTCAATATCATGCTATGGCCCACTTAGGTATTCATTATTCACAGGCAAACAGAAATGTAAGAAGCAGGCTGGCGGTGTCAGGTCATTAAGAAATCAATCGATAACGGTTCCCCGGTTTTAGTCTGTCACCTAAGGGCCAAGACGTGCAACATCTGGAGAGTTCACCTGCTGCCAAGGTGCGGTCTGTTTACAGCAGGGGAGTCCATAGCCACACTGATCCTCAGACAACCTTCCATGGAAACAAACCGTGAGCTTCTGTGAGCCCAGCTTTGTGAGCTTGCTACCCTTCCTCAGACACCAGCGGCCCGAGGTGCCCAACGCCAGGCTGGGAACACAGGGCTTTCTCTCCCCACAGCACTGGAGACTGAGGTCGAACGCTAAGCCATCTGGGTGTCTTACTGCAAGGAACTAATGGCCTGCTCTTCCTAACGCCCTCAGTTCCTTCCTAATTAATATTTTTTAGAATGTTATAGGGACCCTGTGCATTCCCAAGGTGGGCTAAGTGGTGGGGTCCTAACTGGAAGGGCAGCTGTTCAAAACCACCGGCCACTCAATAGAAGTAGGACAAGGCTGTCTGCTCCCACTGAGGTTGGCAGAAAAAGTGAAACGCACAGATGTCTCAGAAACCGCTCGGAACAGCTGTCTGTCCGAGGATGTCAAAAAGTGTCAGACTCGATCGATGGCTGCGGGTATGTGTGTTCCTGGGCAGCTCATCCACTCCAAAGTCACAAACTGTGGTCTCTACCTTTGCGCACTTCACCTTTGTTTTGTCTTTGAAATAAGGTAACAGCCCTATTTAACACCAGGTTCATAGGATCGAGCTCCCAGGGATTCCATTCTGTGGACCTTAATTTCAAAACAATAGCTTGTGCAGTGGCAGGTTAGAGAGCTAATGCACCATACTGGACCTGAGGCCGCCCAGCAATCTTTTCAAGGAAGAGATTGAACATAAAATGAAAGAACAGGAAGTTCAGTTACTGGAACAAACTTATGCTCCAGGGCTGCTTTTCCTCAACTTGCACTTGATAAACCCACTATCCACAGAGTGTCAGCAAAGACACAGTGACGGGGTTCAGAAAGGACTGTCCTTCTCCCCTCTCCCCTCAATTCAAAACCAGTAACGGGAAACCCCAAGCCCAGCACAGTCTACTAACAGTGATCCTTATGAGAACAGAGACGATCCCACTATCAGCAAGCGACCAGACAGCCCTTCTCTCCCTCCTGCTCAGCGAGGGGGAGAGCGTGGCTGCGGTCAGGCACAGAAGTGACCCTTAGGCCACATGCCCACCCCTGCTGGAAGTAAGACCATGCTGAGCTCACTTACCCTCCTGCCTTACTTCTGCGGAAGAGGGTTTAATGAATACTTCACCCCAGAAACACAGAAACGGCTTTAACAGGAGGAAATGTCCCAACAGAAGCCCACGGTTCCGTGAATAGCAGTTTTCTTGCCACATTTCCCCTCTCTCCCATGACAGTCCTAACCCTCCCTCCAACGACGGACGGATGGGGAGTCCATCAAATGACCCACAGAGAAGGTGAGACACACCGCTGCGGATTTAGAGCCTCGCTTCCTCCTGAGCTCTCAGGAAATGTTGGCAGGCTGCCTGGTGAGGCCCTTGTCCCTCTCCAAGATGCTCAGAGCAAACTGCAGCACGGGGTCCCGCCCACGACATTCACATTTGTACCAGGCACCACACACAGTCAGGATGATAGAAGCAAGTTGCAGCCCATGTGGTAGACCCCACTCCAGCACCCCAACAGAAGCGGCTCCCTACTGCCCCCCGCCCTTCTTCCCCAGTCCTTACCCTGCCCAAGAGGTTGTCCTGAAGCAGCGTCTCCTGCAACACCGGGGCCACCTCCTCCAAGCTCAACATGTGGCAGAGGTCGGTGAGCTCCTCCTGTCCCAGGGACCCGGTGCCCGTCGTGTCAAAACTGTCGAACAGCTCCTTGAGTCGGGCCTCATGCTGGTCTTGCTCCACCTCATCCATCCCATAGCCCACCGCGCTCACCTGTGCAGGGCGGGAGACAAGGACAGGTTGTGGCATGCCAATCCTCCTGCAGCCACCTCTTGGCACACCCTCCCCTCCTCCGGGCCCCTGATGGTGCCTGGTCGCCCAAGAGCTGGTCAGTGTTGGCCTTCCGAAGGACCAGCACAAGAAGTAACCTGGCAGGCCTGCTCCCTGCCCTCCCCGACTCAGCCCCGGCAGGTGGAGCTCCCCACGCTCTCACTCCGGGGCACACTCACAATGCAGTCACAGGTAGGGGAGAGTTTAGTCACCAGGATGAAGGACTCAGGGAGATGCTTGTTCTTCAGAAGTAGGCAGACACCCTCCTGGTGCCAGGCCCTCGGAAGGCCAATGTACACAAGGCACAGCTGGGAGCAATCTTCCCCTCAACTCATCTGGCCCCGGACGTCAAGAAAGAGAACTGACCGTTCAAATGAACTGATCCTTAGTGCCAGTCGGCTGTGCTGCCAGAGCCTCTGTTCAAGGCAGGGCGCTCCGGAGGGCCTGCCCAGATGCTACAACCTATCTGAGGCTTGGCAGATACTTGCTTTCTACTTTCTTCGGCCCAGACTAGATGCCCCCCACCCCCATTTACACAAGAAAGCTGCAGCAAGAGGCACTGGATAAGCACCTTTGATGCAAAACCACCTCCCTGTTTACATGAGACCAGACACCTTTCACAGGAGTTCCTCAAAAAGCAACTCAATTAGCTTCCTTGGTGCAATTACGTGAGGTGTGACAGGAAGAGTATTCCCTCAAGCTCACGGGAGGCCCCGGGAGTCTTAGGTAATGCTTCGTTGCCTAGAGAAAAGGGAAAACACTCCTCCGACCTTCCAGACAATGAGGCCAGAAGGAGCATAGATTGCCTGGTACCAATGCAGACCGTCTCAGCCCTCCTTTACACCTGGCTAGTCTACCTCCCGACTCCCCGACCCACCCCAGCCTCGGTTTTCCATTTTGTTAACATGAAATCATCAAAAATTCTCAGCAACGTTTTTGCTGAAAGTAGACATCACAAAATTCCAAGCACTTCATGCTTTATTTTTAAAATAAGAGTGTGTGTGTGTGCCCATGCCCTTTACAGAGAGTTCAGTTCTAAAGCACCAGGTCTTTTGGTCAAAGCCTGACGATTCATTTCAGGGGGCACCTTTCACCATGATGCAACAGATGCCAAACAGAATACATACCCTTGAGATAGTGACTCAGTCATCTGACACAAGGCTGCTAGCACAGGCTCTTAACTTACAGGAAGCAGTGCTCCTCCCTGAACCAAGCCCTAGGTCAGAAAACTCTCCAACTGAGAAGTGATGCTCCACAGAGCAGGTCATGACAACATGGAAACATGGGAACTAAGAGCCTGGACACAGAACTGCACATCACAGAGCTCGCCACAACAAAGCTGTTCTAACCAATCACAACGATCGACATATAAGCCCCTCCCAGGGAGACGAACAACAGAAAAGTGGGTGATGGGAGACAGCGATCAGTGTAAGACATGAAAAAAAAAATTATAAATTATCAAGAGCTCATGAGGGAGGAAGGGGATGGGAAATGAGCTGATACCAAGGACTCAAGTAGAAAGAAAATGGTTTGAAAATGATGGCAACATATGTACAAATGTGTCTGACACAATGGATGGATGGATGGATGGCTTGGGATAAGAGCTGTAAGAGCCAATAAAATGATTTAAAAAGCAAACAAACAAAACAAAGCTGTTCTAATAAGTAGCATTTGTTTTCTTCCTCTAGACAACTCTTTACATGACAGGCCCACACAGTGCCATGGCCTTCCCAAGGGCTTCATCAAACCAAGGTGGATTCAGAGGAGTAAGCCCAACAGCTTTGCCATGAAACCAGACATGTGCTGCGGTCACCATTACAGGGAAGCGGCACAATTTGGTGCAGGATCCTCACCTTGGACCGGTCCTTTCTCCGCCTCATTATCTGCTTCTTTATTACGAAGGTGCTGCTGGCTCTGGCTGGCTTCCCAGGGTTGGTCTGCTGGGTTAACTAATCACCATGTAAATGTTTGCAAAATATGCTGAGAGTGCTATATAAACACCAAAGCATCCGAGAAGCAGCACCAAGGTGCTGTGCAAAGCGAGAGAGTTAGGAATTTAGACAAGGCCAGGGTGGAGCGAATGAGATTCGTTCACTCAGAGACACCCGTTAACCCGCAACAAAGACCTGCTGAGACTCTCCAAGACGTGCTGGTCCTTCAGTGAGGCCATGGCGCTCAACGCCCCAGATTTCCACTCTCCACAGAGCTGTATAATCTGACCAGCCTCATCAAAGTCAGGCGACTCTGCTTTTGCTTGACTTTGCATACCCCTTGTTTAAAAACCTCAATAGTGAAAGACTTCTAACACATCCCCTTTTGTAAAGATCACTTTAAGGGGTGAGGATGTTTCCATCACAGCCAGTGAAAGAGAGGGTGATAAAAGTCACAGCGTACCGAGAAGTTCTGATCCCATCCACAGCTTGGAAGGTGAGAAGCGATGCTGCCCTCTCTATGGGAAGATCAAACCTCTTTCCTTTTATATCTCTCTATGTCCTCTCCCTCCATTCCAAGATACTGCCTGTGCTTAGGAAAAGTCTTTTGACTGAAGGGGTTAAAAAAAAGGCTCATAGTGAACACCCAGAAGACGTCACCCATGGTGACAAGCTCTCAGGGCTCACCTGGCACCGAGGCATTTCTACTGGTTGGTATTAAGTCCCAAACGTTCATCAGTCACTTCATGCACAAGAATTTTTTCCTGCTTACTTGGCAAAAAATTTTTACGAACAAGGACCACATTTTCTATTTCTTTTCTACCTTTTCCGAAGTTCGTGGGATGTGCTCAGTAAACACCATGGACGGACTTACATATGGGCAGTCCCTGAGCCGGAACTTATCCTGAATAACGGCTCTAGAAATGAGCCCACAAAGCTTCCTGAAATGCAGCTCCACTCCTCCTCAGCCTCCAGCCTTTTCCAAAGGGCCATTTCATCCATAGAGGAAAACCAGGAAGCAGAAGCAACACCCACTGTCGAACTATACCACACGGCATCGATGAAACGGAATTCAGGGAGCTAGTCCTCAGGCCCACGGATTCCCGGCCTTCAGCAGCATCGATGCTGCTGCTGCGGTGACAGGATGTCACCTGGGAGAAGAATCTGTATGAAAACATGCCCCCAACACCTCCTCTTGTATATAGAATGAGAGCAACAATGTCCATCTGGAAGGGCTGTTCAAAGTGGTGACCAGGTGAGAGTGGCTAATCCCAGAGAGAGTTGACAAATTAAGAAAACAACCAATTAAATATCAGAGGCTTACAAGGAGGGGCAAATTGAAGAAGGGTAACTTACAAGCAATCCACCACCACAGAGCAACCCCAGAAACAAAGCAGAAGTGGAGCGCCCTAGGTCAGAGCTCAAGTACAGACAAGGAAGCAATTGTGTAGATTAAAAAGCATCATATTCTTCCATGAGAATCACAGCAATGAATGGCCAGTGCTTCCGAGACCTTTTAAGGCAGGCTTTAGAAAACAACAACAAAATGTCCAACGAAAGCAGAAAGACTGAGAGAAGCACTTTATTTGGCCTATGCTACGTCCTCCACATATACAACCTCGCTTTCATCTTCCCAGTTCTTCGAAGTAGATGTGGAAATTGGAGCTTCACTCGCATGGGTGAAGACTGGAGATCTGAATGGTGGTCTGACTCGAAGTCCTGCAATTTTCAATACCATGCATACACACTGAACACATGAACGTGACCACTGAAGTCACATGGGCAAAGTGCCCTCCACCCCTTGCCACCTTTGTGTGTTAGCTAATTTAACAGTATCAAGTACCAGACTACTCAATAGCCTGGAGCCCAGGAAAGCTGGATTCCTTGAGCCCCTTTCTTCCTTGCTCCCTCTCTAGACCCAGGCAGTCAATCTTCCTAGCTGGTGCTGGTTTACCCAATAAGGTAATCTGCGGTGAGCAATCCCCCCAGTTCAAAGATTTTGCTTCTAGGTCTGGTTGCCGTCTGCCTTTCCCCCAACGCCACAGCACCGTCCTTCCGAACCAAGGTCCCTCTTCAAATTTACAGTCCTGGACCGAGTTGAATTACTCAGTAAGTAAGGTGGCACAGGCTGACTCATGCTTACCCACTACTAATCTGTAGCTGGTGTTTTCCAACAGTGAAAAACATGTGCAACTGTTCACTACAGATTAGTAAGTAAGCACAAGTAAGCCTGTGCTTACCTTGCTTATTGGGTAATCTGCCCCTGATTATAGACCATTTTCTTTTTGCTTAAGGAGCTTTGGGGCTCAGGGTATGACAGAAATAAAGTTTAATGTTTTCTTTTCCATTAGGTTTTTCTGTTTTGTTCTTGTGTTGTTCTTTTTTTTTTTTTT